AGGGTTTAGGGATGACGGTTTAGGGTTTAGGGTTTAGGGCCTAGTTGAGGGTTTAGGGATGAGGGTTTAGGGTTTATAGGGATGAGGGTTTAGGTTAAAGGCTGAAGACTGTTCCCTGCAAGTCGCTCAATGATTGCAAGCCTCGCAACCGTAGACACTGAACTCTTCTGGCATCACGTCCAATGTGCCTCCCTGAAACCCCGTAGAAACCGAATCTAAATCCTGTTAGGGTTTAGGGCTTAGGGGAGTTGGATCCTGAACGCCTGAACCTGAAAACTAAACCCCAAACCCGAAACCCTAAACCCTAGACCCTAAACCCTAAATGCGCTTCCGGTTTTAGGATTTCGAGCTTAAAGTCTGATTGAAGCCCTTCATGCCAAGAAAGGCACAGCAAAGGCAGATCGTCGATGCAACACACGAGAGGAGCCCCAACATGTTCAACCCTAATTACCCCAAGCCCGAAACCTAAATTTCCTCGTCCCTAAACCCTAAAACCTAAACCTAAGTGCTAAACCCTAATTACCCCAAACCCGAAACCTAAATTCCCTAAACTCTAAGCCTAAATTTTGGACCCTATAGTTACCCCAAACCCTCAACCTAAATTCCCTCAACCCTCAGTCGAGCAGTTCAAGGCTACCCAGAGGCCCCATAGTAGTTCCTTTTTGGGGTTCATATTTAGAATCCTATTAGGTAATCCCAAAAAGGAACTACTGTGGGGCCTATGGGTAGCTTCAGGAGGGCCCCTCGCGTTGCAAGAAGCGGACGCCAGGGCCAGGCCAGCATAAACCCAAAAACCCCCAAACCCCCAAACCCTGAACCCCGAAACCCTAAGGGTGTAGGGTTTAGGGGTTTAGGGGTTTAGGGTTTTGGGCTTAGGGGGCCCTGATCCCTGAAACCCAAAATACCTAAAGCCCCAACCCTAGAACCCTGAACAACTAAACGAAACCCTAAACCCCAATATGACAAAAAGGTCTGAGGACTCACAGCTTCTCGGGCCCGAAAGACCATGCTATTATATGAGGAACCTGGGCGAAATGTTGAGCCTTATGGGGCAACTCCAAACCCCAAACCCTAAAATACTAATATTACAGGCGGCTTCCTGAACCCTGAACCCTACACCCCAAAGCCTAAACCCTAAACCCTAAAGCCCAAACCCTAAAGCCTAGATTTTGGAGCCTTGGGGAGGAAGACACAGCCCAGCTGCGCATCATGCTCTCCGAGAGGGCGCTCATGCCAAGGACCTGAAACGACGGTTTAGCGCTTAGGGTCTAGGGTTTAGGGTCTAGGGTTTAGGGTTTAGGGTTTACGACGTAGGGCTTAGGGTTTAGGGTTTAGGGTTTAGGGCTTAGGACTTAGGGTTTAGGGCTTAGGGTTTAGGGTTTAGGGTTTAGGGCTTAGGGCTTAGGGTTTAGGGTTGGAGTTTAGGGTTTAGGGTCTAGGGTTTAGGGCTTGGGTTCAGGGTTTAGGGTTTAGGGTTTAGGGCTTAGGACTTTTGGTTTAGGTCTTAGGGATTAGGGTTTAGGGCTTCGGGTTTAGGGTTTCAGTTTAGGGTTTAGGGTCGAGGGTTCAGGGCTAGGGTTTAGGGTTTAGGGTTTAAGGTTTAGAGCTTAGGACTTAGGGTTTAGGGGTTCGGGTTTAGGGTTTAGGGTTTAGGTCTTAGGGTTTTTTTTTTCTAGGGTTTAGGGCTTACTGTACGGGCTTTAACAATTGGAATAGGGTTTGGATGTATACTACTCTTGCTATACTTATAATAAGGAACCACCAAAATAGTACAGATAATTATTCAAGCCCACAAACTAGCAGTAGGGCTTAGAGTTTAGGGTCTAGGGCTTAGGTTTCAGGCCTTAGGTTTTGGGTCATCTGAATCTCAAATCTGACACGAACATACGGTGACGGCACCCCATCTGGGCGCACTGCAAGGATCAGGTAGAAGAAATGCACCTCGGCCGAATGCTTTCAGGACTCGGTTAAGGGTTTAGGGTTTAGGGTTTAGGGTTTAGGGTTTAGGGTTTAGGGGATTCGGGCATACTACGGGCAAGCCTGCATAGGACATAGGCCTTCGTATCGAAGTGTAGACATTCACAACTCGCATGTTCTCTGTTCACAGTTCCTGCAGTGGCCCAGATTCCTGTAAAACTTAACAATTCAGGGCAGGGGTTGGACTAGGCCTCGGCTCGGTTGAAACACATTGTAACAACCCAGGTCCAAAGTTTAGGGTTTAGGGTTGCGGCTGGCAGTGGTTCCCCTAACCCTCAACCCTAAACCCTACAGTCCAAGGTGCCCAAACAGCAAAGCTCCGAACACCAGAAGCCTTTCAGAAGAGTATTCGGGAGCTGAAACCCTACTTGGACCCTCTAGGATCGTGGATTGACGGTTAGGTTTCGATGTTGAGACTCGGGGTTTAAGCAGTTTAGACAGAATTACTGGGTTCTTGTTAAGGGATTTAATTTAAGTTACCATAATAGGGATCTATAGTAAATACTATGGTTTCCTTATTATGGTAACTTAAATTAAAGCCCTTAACAAGAACCCAGATTATGCTGATTGTATGTACTTGGGGTTGCTCTGAGACTCTCTAGACTACGCACAGAGGGGGCCATTGGTAAATGCACTTCCTCATGTCATAAGGAGATCCCGACCAACAGCAGTAACAGCTCTTCAGGCTTGCTGGTGGGCACGCAATTGAACCAACAACAACATACCACCTGTATACCATATGGGAAATGCATCTACAGGAAAGCCTGAAGCATGCCCCAGTGTAGGCAGATGAATTATCTATTCCCCACCCAAAGCGGTGGTCTCGTTTCTGGCCACCTTGTCTCCTCCGCTTGAGGCCATTACAAGAATACGAAGTGGCTGACCGCATAGTGAACTAAATTGAAGAGTCTCGGCATCTCTTGAAGCCAACACTGGCTAGAACAAAAACCCTATCTACAGTCTCCATTGGAGTTCCTTTTTTGAATACCTTGTAGGATACTGATTACAAACTTGGACAAAAAGGAACGACATTGGAGACTGTAGAACAATCAGCTAAAGCAAAACCCTAAACCCTAAACCCTATAGAACCTAAACCCTAAACCCATTCACCCTTAACCCTAAACCCTGAACCCTGAACCTTCAAGTCCGAACCCCGAATCCCCAAGCCTGAACCCGAAACCCTACCCTAGCGGTTTTGTTTTTAAGCATCCCTTTTGCCGTCTGCAGATCCGGAAACGGCTTAGGGCTTCTGGGGGTTCAGGTTGCCGTATAGTAAAAACTTTGGCCCTAAAGTACTTAGAAAGGGACTGAGGCTGAAGTAGATGCTAGACAAATAAATACTTGGATCTTTATACCCTAAACCATAAACCCTTACGGTACCGTTATGGAACCCTTACAGTGCCCTTATGGCCTTATGGTACCTTTGAATGCATCCTGAACCTTGGTTTTGAGTGGAGAAACGAGTGGAAGCCCCACCCTTAGCCCTAAAATCGCCCACCAAAGGCGCAATGTAGCCAAAGGATAAGCCGTCGATGAAGTACTGGCTCAGAGCGTAGAACCTCACAGCTGTTGTGACTTTCGACACTGTGTACTTTACAGTACAGAGTTATAGGGCTTGGCCCAGGGTCAAGTGTTATAGTTCTGATTGAGAGCTCGAACAGGTACAAACCAGCAGTTTCCATCCCGCGCAAGTTCCTTTCTGTTCTGATTCTGCGTTGAGACCTCGAGCTTACTTTGGGGCAGGGGTTTTATCCTCTAAGCCGACGCCTTACACTCTAGCTCGGTATATTATAATATATCTACCTTGATTTTGGGCTTACACCCTCAACCTCTCAACCCCAAGCCCACGCGGCATGCTCTGCAAATCAAAGGCTGACTGAGCTCGTCGACACTCGTCTCAGCAGTGCTACCCAAAGGCTCCCATGTAGTTCCTTTTTGGATAGTGTAATATTATTCCTTACCAGATAACCATAACAGACCCAAAAAGGAACTACATTGGAGGCCCTGGGTCTAGCATCCCCTCATGTAGGCTCGTCGTCGTTTGAAGTTTGTCTTCAGGGGTTCACTCCCAGGCATGTGAGGGAATGCGTCGCCACCCATCTGAGCTTCAGTGTCAGCGTCCCCGGTTCATTAAGGACGAGAGGAACCCTACAAGGGGTTTAAGGTTCATATACCATTTTGTGATTCATAGTACAAGTGCTTGTAAGGGCATCCGAATTTCACCCTCACCCTAGACCCTATACATCCTAAACCCTAAACCCTAGCTAGCATCTGGGTCTTGTGGAACAAGCCTTTTTTGTCCGAAGCATCCTCGGGAACGCAATATGCCACGCGTTCATAGCCAGAACGGGATCCTACCTTACCTTAAGACACGTTTTTGTAGGTTCTTATTATAAACCCTAATATGGGATTTATAGGGACCCTGCAAAAAAGTAGGTTTGGGGTTCTTAAGGTATGGCTTCTTCGGGAAATCAGTGTTTGCAGCAACTACCGTCCCTCACGGCCCTAAGGACTCACATTCCTAAGGCTATTGCACCCAGAAGCGATACTACATAAAGCTTTTGTTCTAGCTGGAGCCTACAGATTAGTTCCTACGCCCCAAACCTCGGGTTTTTGCTTGTCATGCCAGCAGACCCTATAGACCCTAAACCCGAAACCCTGTAGATGCAATCATGGAGCCCTCCTTGCAGCTTGTAGGGGCTCGGGACGTCCCTCGAAAACCCCAGATGGCTAAACCCGCAAGGCTGGGGGCCTTAGTAATTAGAACAGGGCTTTTTTTTTGGGGGGGTTCCTTATTGTAGTTGTAGCACCATATGCCCCAAAACCCTACCCTAATTATTACGGCCCCTACACCCGAAAGCCCAGGAAGATTCAGAAAGTTTGAACAAATGTCGTTCTGTAAACACAACAGTCGGCCCCATACCTCTTAGACAGGTACCTTTACGGAGACGCATGTAAGGAAATCATGATAAGGAGCCCTCACCAATTAGGTTCTTGGAGGGTTGGGGTACACCCCATAAGTAAGCTCAACTAGACCTACTGCCTCCAAAAACCCGACTGCCTCTCCTCCACCTGCGATAAGTATTATGCCTTGCAGCTCTTAGCCTAAAGCAGAACTTCAGCAGTCACTCTCAACGCCATCCCAAGACCCTAAACCCTACCGGCACCTCCCAAATACCCTTTAATAGAGCCCTTATGGTCCTTAATAGTGGGTATTTAGGGTATAATAAAAGGGTAGTTGGGGGGGTTGCTGGTAAACCCTAAAGCCTAAACCCT